GAAGTGAAGAGCTGAATACCTGCCTGATTAGCTGCATAGCCCCAGACCATGGTTGGAAGTGATTTCCTTGAGCGTGTCTGTCTGTCTGGGTCTCACCCTTAGTTCCTTTCTTTCTTTCTCCAGCCCTCCACAGGGTTGTCATTGTCTATTTTCAAATTGTGCTGATTTTTTTTTTTTATGTTGAAGGGCACATTGTGAAAAGGTCTGCCAACCAGGTGGGCAGGTATTAATATAAATAGAGACCTGAACAGTTAGAATTAAGAGGAGGAAAAGTGAAGTGCCTTTGTGTGTGTGTGTGCGTGTGTGCGTGCACACACACATATGCACACAAACATCCCCATGCTCTCAGGCACACACACCCCTCTTTCTTTGTAAGAATCAGGGACAGGTGAATGAAACAGATTTTTTATTTTGTTTTGGTTTGTTTTAATTTATGGTAAGTACAAGGGGCATTCTACAATGAAGGAAGTTTTATTTCAAGATTTTTAGCAAATAAAATAATACTTTGAAACATTTGAAATTGTACCAAAAATGTGTTTTTGATATTTCTAACCTAAGAAAACATAACACTTAAAATCCTTTTATTTACTGGCCTCACACATCTTGGAAATTAGTATATGGATACAGTGTAGAAGTTCTGGATAAGCACAATAGAAAATCTAGGTTAGAAAGTAAAATCTTTGGGTGATATTGAAAATGTTGAGAAGGCTTTGAATTATCACTAAAGTAGCAAATATTCATTCCATAAATTTTCCAGATAGGGTATGGAAAACCACTCCATCTGCTCCTAGGACCAGCTTGCCTTATGTTTTCTTTAGCTCTTGACTCAAATTTCCATATCATATAGGTTTTGTGCTATTACTACTGAGTGGCTTAGTTTTGTCAATTGGGGTCACATCTTCTAAAATTCCTTCATAGAGCTAAACAGCCTCTTTGTTGTCCCTGATTGTTAACCAGCTCTAGGACTGTATCAAGGTACATTTTATTACAAATTTTTTTCTCTGCAATACTCTTATTTGGGTTTAAGTTGTACTAATTCCTTTATACACCCACAATTGAATGCTGATTATTGACCTGTGGATTACCAAAGTTTTACATGTGAAGTTCATTCTAGCCACCAAGTTTTTTAAAAAAAAAATTTTTTAAGGTATGCTTTTTCTTTTTAGTCAGGAAGATTGGCCCTGCTGCCAATCTTCCTCTTTTTTTTTCCTCCCCAAAGCCCCAGTACGTAGTTGTATATCTTAGTTGTATATCCTTTTAGTTCTTTTATGTGGGATGCCGCCCCAGCATGACCTGATGAGAGGTGTGTAAGTCCATGCCCAGGATCTGAACAGTGAATCCAGGCTGCTGAGGCGGAGCATGTGAACTTACCCACTACACTGCTGGACCAGCCCCTATTAAAAAAAATTTAATACTGTAAGTACTAAGCTCATAGGTATACAGTATGGCTATTCAGTAAATTCTTAATTATTTATTGACCCTTTACAGAAGAAATAATATATAGGCTAAAAAATAAAGTAGCTTCCTGTTGGTGGTAGAATGAGCCAAGCTCTGTAGCTCTCCTTCTCATATACTCTCAGCCAGCTTGGGCCGTGACTGCCCCAAATCCACAGGTTTGACACCAAACAATGACTGCCCACTGGGAGGATTGGGCCAAGGCTATGAAGGTGATCTGCATATGAAGGTCTTCTCAGTGCTTTGGGGTGAATTTTGACTTTTCCCCAGCATCCTCAGAGAACTCAGCTATCTGAGAATCATGCCTGGACTGTGTAGTCATCCATGGAGCAGCCCCATGTCCACAGGCTGAGATTGGTTCTCATCAGACAACTCGTCATGAGCTGTTTGGGGGAGTGGATTCCTTTCTGTCTTGTAGGACTTTATGTCCAGATGGTTGTTGTAGGTCAGTGGATGCAGCAATATTTGCTGTAATAGAAAGAATTTGGAGGAGGAAGAGCTTAAGAATGAAGGGTAACAGCAGAGTTTGTTGTTTATGTCAGGATTATTAACATGAACATGAGGTACTGATGATGTTACATGGAATTTTAAGTTTTGACTGTGTGTGAATTCTGTCTCTATTGGTTTATCTATCTAAAATGGCCACTGTCAACTGATAATATGTGATAAAATGTTTACAATTTATATACCCGAAAGTAGAGATTGATACTAAGAGTATTTATTTTTTAACTTATTTTACCCCATGATTTTTTCCCTCAGTTACATGGAAGATAGCCCCAAATACTATTGTAAGTGATATTGAAAAAATGCAGCACTTTGTGCCCCAGCAATATTTCTATTCTCTGTAGCCTCTGAAAATTCTTTTCTACAGATAGTTGGCAGTCGGCCACTGTTTCCAACAGGCAACATGTTTCCCACCATCAGGTACCAGAACAAGTAGTGGTATCCATGAGGTTCCCACTCCTAAGTAAAAATATCTTAAAGACTCTAAATGGGAATTGAGACTTTTTTTAATCTTTTGGATTTTTCTACTTTAAATATCAGAAAAGGGAAACAAATATGAAAAGGAAAGAGGAAAAAGAATCAAAAGAGGTTTCCTTGGTAGGAAAGAGACCTATGAATTCAGTTTAAAGCAGCTCTGTATAAAATAGAACAATTGCAGGTATGGAAAATATGAGCATAGGCTTACTAGAGAAGGCCAAAACAAGCAAAGAATATGTATTTTGAATGAGGCCCATACTGAAGTGAATTTTGTTTTATTCTGGGAGGGCATCATAGGCTATAGATCAAGCAGAAGATGAGAAAGGCAAGACCATGGCTTTAAAGAAGAATATCCATTGTCTCTCAGTGAACGGTTGCATACTCAAAGATAAATAAGTAATATAGAATACACACTTTTTCTTCTGGAAGAGGCAGGAGTATGTTAGGTTTTCTGGCTGTTCGTTAATAATCCCATGCCAACATTCCTGCAAAGATGCCCCCATTACTTACCAATGCTGTTTCTGATGGATTCTGTTGTGGGAATATGTATCCTTCATAAAAGGTGCCATTCTTCCCACAAGAGGACCTGAATAGGCTATGGTGGGGTGGGCAGAGAGGGTGGCTTGGAGACGGGAGAACTGGCTTTAGATTCCAACTCTGCCACATGGCTTGGACAAGTCACTTAATCCCTATCTCACAGGATTGTCATGATGGCCCATAGCATAAGCTCTATCACATTGTGAGAACTCCAAGATAGGGTGGTTGCTTTGAATAAAGAAATGTAATAATATCTCTTAATTCCCTTAGATGGTGGGAGCTAGTCACCCATAACCTACGTGTTTCAGTTGGCTTCTACCAACAAAAAGGAGATTTTTTTTTAGGTTAGTCCCACTAATAATCAATGGGAAAAATTATAGTTGTTCTCTGACCTTTAAACACTTTTCGTCAAAACATTTAAAACTCTTTTATTATCAGTTATAAATGTATAGGGAAATGACAAATAATAGTAAAACTAATGTTTATTTAGCATACTGTAATTTAAACATTAGGGACATTGAGAATTAAAGTGTTTTATTTCTTGGTAAAACTTATCAAGAATAATTTGAACAGTACTTACTGTCTTCTTGTTTTATAACTTCTGATACAGAGCAAGCATTTTTCCTGTGCTTTGATGAATTGTCATACTCCTTTCTTAGTTTGGTTCAGCTTCCAACATTTTATCCTTTGTGTTTTCAATGTTGTGAAATATCTGAGAGTTCCTTTCATGTGAATTTTTTTTACTGGCATCATTTCTTCTTGGACAGCTTCATCCTTCTTGTCACAACCACTTTCCTCCTGTATGTCAATAGGCTCAGCTTCATGGAGTTTCTCTGGGCAGCAGCAAAGTCAGCCATTCCCACTCTCAGCTATTTCTTCTCTACCTCCATTTATGGTAGATTCAAATTTTACTTCCAGCAATAGCACTTCTCGTTTCTTTTTATCTTTGTTGGCTGGTTCCCTCTTCTGACTACCCATCTTTGTAAAGTGTCATGTATGTGTACCCCTGGGAGACAGGGCACAACGACACTCTTTGCTGTCTGTGTGTGAATAACAGCTGCGTGGTGACCAATCGCCAGCAGATTTTGAAGTGATGCGATTGGTCACTGATCATGATGCTCATCTGTTATTTACATAGGAATTTGTGGACTTGAAGAGCTAGCTGTAGAGTTTGTACTTTATGCAATTACTCACAGTTAATATACTCTGATAACTGAAATTTGAAGTGTGTTGTTTGGGATGGTGTTATTTAAGTAAACTATAGTAACTGTCATTTTTTCATATCTGAACTGTGTAAAGAAAGGATAGTCTGTATACAGTTAGATCTTGAACACAACAGGTGATATGTTTTCATAGGACTCAGAACCCATGATTTCTAGTTAAAACTGCCTCAGTAATCATTTGGAAGTCTTTCTGCAGGTCACTCAGCCTCTTTGGGTCTCAGTTTTCTCTCCTATAAAAGGCTGGATGACCTTTACAAACCTCTTCCAGCTCTAAAACTGTTTGATTCTATGGTGTGGGGGCATACCATAAAGAGAGTTCCAGAGAAAGTCATAAAGATGATTAAAGGGTTGAAAAAGGAGACATCTGAGAAAGGGTTAAGACAACTGGGTTAGCTTTCGTGATGTATGGTGACTGGTTTCAGCACCTGGTGAGTTCAACCCAGAGCCTGGTAAATGATCCTCCGTCTCCACTACAGAAAGTGGGAGCTAAGAGGCTTAACCTAAAGAACGAGGGAAATGTAGTTTAAGCAATTATAGGATTATAATCCTGTAATATCCTATATATCCTATAATATCCTGTGATTAATCCTACGTGGCATGTATGAGGAGTAAGAGAAAAACTGTGAAAAAAAACAAGGAAGAGGTGTGGAGGTGGTGCTGCTGAAGTGGTCTTTTCATCTACTTGGAAAAAATGGAGTTAAACCCAGGCCTTCCAAATAAAAGCTAAAACACTAAGGTTAGGGAAATGGAAATAATTTTTGGGAGCAAGATCCTTTGAGCCTAGCTTGGGTTATCCATGGAAATTGTCAGTCTAGCATCGCTTGTATCTTTACAAACAGGATCTGTGAGAAATGGTCCAAGTGCAGCCTGAGGAAGGAAGAGGAGTAAACTGGCCAAGCTTGGAAGGCTTCTTCTCCACTGTGCTTTTTAGTCCTGTTTCTGAAAAGGGAAAGGAAAATATTCTTAAAAATAATCACACAGGTATCAGTTCACTAGAAAATGGACGTGTTCTTTGACAATTATGGATAGAGAAAATATCATGAATTCTGTGATCTTCTTCTGATGATCACAGAATTTCCCTAGAGGACTTTGAAATTTGGGGGTGAGAAAGAGTGGTTGGTTTTGACCCACTGATATGAAAGGCTCACAGTGTCACTATATCTGCTACAATATCACCCAGCTGCATTTATCTTTTGGATGTGCTGGGTTGGGAAGTATTGGCCCTCAAGAGTAAAAATCTCTAAACCTAAAACAAAGAAATGACCTTAGCCTCTATTTTGTTTGCTTGCCTTAAACCCCCAAAATCAGACTGTATCAGAAACCACCTCAGAAATCTATTTTTATTGTCATTGGCACTGGAGAAAGATGCTTCAGGGACTGCAAAGAGGTAAAACATCTGGAGCATACATTATTGTGACTGCTTATGTATTTAGTTGAAGACATTTCTTCGGCATTGAAATTACGTTTATAACAAGGAGTACTTGTACTGCTTATCACTAAAGTTCTTTTTAATTCTCTTATAGCAGTCAATATATTTTTCTAAGATAGGTTGGAAGACAAACTGTAGTGTTTTGTTTTTAAATGTAATTTCCCTCCTGTTTTTTTGATGGTTGTCTCTTGCATTGTGCTTCCAGGATGGACATAGGCATAATAAGGTAATGTGGCCATATTTTGGCTTTGCCATTTTTTTAACCCTCCAGCTACGCACCTTTAGTGGCATGAAGTACCTGACTAAAATTAGAAATATCCTCCAGAGTCACAATACGTGCTTCATCTTTTTAGATCCCTGTATAGTTAATAGCCACTTAACCCATGGCCTTGTTTCCTGTGGACAACTTTTTAAGAAAATATTCTGAAATAGGAATATCCTAATTGGTTTTATAAGGCATTTACCATGAATTTCTTGAGTGGAGAAGGTTGGATGCTCACAATTTTAGTGCTGGATTCCTTTCAAATGTTGATTTTTTTTGAATGTGTATTATGTCCCTAAGAGATTTACTGCTTTTGTTGTTCACATGCTAGATTTCCGCTTCCTTAGATTCATTGACTTATTTTATGTGGTTCCTAGTTCCAGTGTTAAATTGCCTTGATCATTTCTTCTTGGAGAGCCTTAGGAAACCAACGACTACTACATTTAACTTGAGCAAATTGGAGATTGATTTTTCCTAGTATTCTGCCCCTCCCACATCTAGTAATCATAACTGCATTCATCTTTAATTTAATTTTAAATTTTCCATCTATTTTTTGGGGGTGATTAGGTTCAAATACTGTCCTGGGTATTATTAGTCAAATTCCCATTGGTTGTAATATTTTGGGGTGTCACATTTTGCTTAAAAATAAATTTGGCAATGTAGATTATTTGCCACAAACCAAAAAAGTAAAATTCTTCTGGCTTATTTTATACATTACCTTGGGGGAAAAATCCTGTCTTCTCTCACTGCCTTTTGGAATTCAGAGATTGTGCTCTCAAATATCAGATGATGAGTGTAGTGACTCCTATTTGACTACAGACACTAGTTGCCCAGCAGCACTTCCTTTAAACTAGTAAGGGCCCAAACCACCCAGAGGGGCCTACTCAGCACCAGAACAGGATCTTACACATTTTGTAAGCTCAGTAAATGTTTATGGTTTGATTAACAAGTCATCTCAGTCTACCCTACACTACATTTTGTTTTTTTCCTTGATAACCCTACCCTGTGGTCACAGAGCTTGGTCCTGAAGGGGTTGCTGTGTCTGGTCAGTCCTCACTGTAATCTCTCCACCATTCCTGCCTTTAGGGTTGTATTCAGCCTAGTACTGGTTTCTGGAATCTGACTTGTCAAATGCTTCAGAAAGCATTTAGACAGCAGTAGATAAGTTACATTTTCCACATTACCACTGTGAACTAAACACAAGAAGTTTTTGTGGGTGAGCAACTTTTTTCTTCATGAACATTTTTTGCTATACTTAGATAGTTAAGTAGTTAAATTATATGCTTCTTTCCCTTCTTTCATCGGGGAAAATTCAAACTTCAGGAGCTTTGCATGTTTCTTGGGAGGGTGTACCCATCAGTTGATGGGGAGCTCATGGGTCATCACACACTTCCACCTCTCACCTTTCTTGCTCCTCAGTTCATGGTGTCTTAGTTTTCTGTGAGCTTCAAGAGCTTTTGAGTTTTCTTGCCATGCAGAAATGTCAGGGCGCTAAGCCTTGGTGATATGTTGGGCTTTGATTTCACTGGAGCATGTTAAAAATTATTTATAAAACACCTGTCAAACCAAGGTAAGAGTAAAAAGTGGATCCTAACCTGGCACATGTTAGCCTATCCTTTTAAGTTTGCAAGATACAAGAAAGTTTAGAAGTGCAGTTGATGAAGACTGAGTCAAAATTGGAATTTGGAGAAATTGCATACAAACAGGTTGAGAATTCCGAGCAGAAAGTAATGAAGTCTTTTTCAGCTATAAGGCTCATAGCATATCATTATGCATAAATGCAGGCAACTGGGCTGATGAAAAGAGGATGATTCAAACAGTCTCAGACAGAGGTATGTGTCTCTTCCCTTACTCTGTTTAACATTCCACCACTTTCTAAATGGGAAGATGGAGAGATTGGAAATTGCTATTGTTGTATTTCATTTGTAGTGTGTTGCATATATTGACTCTTACATTTACTTCTAGTAAACTGTATATCATTCTCATTCCATAAATATGGACCCACCTGTTTTCAAAGAATCCATGATACCTTTGGAGTGCTCAAATCCTGGGTTGAATCCTGACCTGCTCCAGGACTGGGTATGTGACCTTGAAAGAGTTAACTTAATTTCTTTCAACCTCAGTTTCCTTACCTGTACAATGAAATAATAAACCAATTTCATGGAATTGCTGTGGGAATTAAATGAATGCAAATAAGTTACCTAGCACAGTGTCTAATATATAACAGATACCCAACAAATATTAATTCAGTTTCCTTCTTCCTTCTCTCCCTTTATAACATTCAGAATTAAATAATCCATTCTTGTATAATTAAACAGATATCTGAGTCATGAGGGCCTAGCTGATGGATGAACCAAGATTCTGGGGCTCAAAATAGCGACTGACCAAATAATGATATGCCTATAAGATCAGTTCCTGGGGTGCTGCTTGTTAATTGTCTTAAGACTCTATTTCAGGTTCAGTGTTTGTGTCTATGTGTTGTGTCTATTTGAAGAAGCTGTCAGTCCATTTGATAGTCTAAATTCTACCTTGAGTAGCTGTGTCTCAGAGCTCATCCCAAAATCAGATTTAACCAGTGTAGACTGATGATCTAAGCACACTCATAAGCCCTGAGGTGAAACCCAGGCCCATGTTGCTGCCGCAGCCTCTTCCACTGTCCCAGTGGGTAGGTGAGACCTCCAGGTTCAATGTCTCTGCTCAAATCTCCCTCATGTCACTGTTTATAGATGAGCAGGATGAAAAGGGTCTTTCAAGCAGCAGAATTTAACGTTGCTCTCTGCTGTAATTAAAGGGTGCTGTTAGCGAAAACCTCGCCAACTCTACACCGTTGTTTTTCTCCCATGACCACTGTGGGCTAAGCACCCACTGAGTGGGCGGGCAACTTTTCTCTTCATGGATATTTTTGCTGTATTTGAATAGGAAGTAATTAAATTACCTGAGTATTACGGGGTCACCTATTGCTAGAGAAAGAATGTAAGTAGTGGAAAACAGTGTAAATAGTCTTCTGTTCTGGAGACGGCTCAGAGAGCATACCTGCCTTGTGCAGAACACTGGCAACACACTCTTCTATTTCACGAGAGCTTACCTCTGTAATTATTTCTGTTTTAAATAAACCAAAATCCTTGGTGAGCTGCCTGAGGGCATGAGTGAAAGAAAGATGGGTAGTTTTGACTTTGCTTTTTGTAGAGCTTCCAAATATATAGCAAAGGACAAGAGACAACAGGGTTCCATTTCGGTCCTAGAAGTGGTGGTTGCTCTTGTATTTCAGTTTGAATGTAACTATGAAAGCTAACTTTGTCCTAAAAACCTTGTGGTTATGGGACAATTGTCTTAAAAAAAACCTGAAAGCACAAAGAATCCCAGATAAATAAATAAACTTTAAATTTTCAGACAAATCAAGCCGTTGATCAGACATTTAGGCAAATTTTCCGGAAAGTACAGATGCCTCTACTGCTAATGTGCAACATTAATGGAAGCCCCCCTCAGGTTTTTACTAACCTCTTGAAGAAATCTCAGTTGACTTACAAATTCCTATGTTTAATTCTCATCATTTAACAATGGTTTCTCTTTGTTTCACCTTTTTTAGGACCTAAAAAAATAATCAGACAATGATATAAGATCTCTAGGGCTAAAAACACTTCTAAATTGTATTTAGATCACTATGCGTGAGATATTTGCATTTTTGGGGGGCATGTTTCTTCAGCAAGCTGAAATGTTTTGATTTTGAAAAGTCTCCCTGTGTGAGAAAAAAGAAAATTGTGAGTCTTGGACCTATATCAAGATTTATTTACATCTCTTCCTTCTTCCCTGCCCCAAAATTGAAGGTAGAACAATGAAGATGTTACAGATACATGTTACAATAACAAAGTTCTAATAAAATTGAATCTTTATAGCAGCCCCTGTAGCAGTAAAATCATGAATAATCTCTTTCAGTGATCTGAAGAAGATCTCATTTTTTACAGAAAGTTTTAGACTTCTGTGCTGCCAGGGGCATTCCCATCTTTGTTTACTTATCACCTTGGTCTCATGTGATGCTGATCCAGTGAGCACCTGTCTCTTCTTCCTGTGAGGCTGCAGTTGAGGGTGTGATTTGTGTAGAAATCTGAGGATGCAGACAGAACCCTGTCTCTCTATGACAGCAAGACACATGCTTTCATAGTTAGGCTCTTTATTGTTTGGGTGGCATTCTAAATTCCACTTATTCCTAAAAACCAACAGAACAGCACTTCACATTGACGCTGTTTTTGATTCAGGGATCAGTATTTCAGGGCATCAATGTATTTTAACCCCAAAAAGGTTTACAAACTGTGGATGAGGTTATATAAAATGACTTTGCATTTGTTATTCCAGAATGTGGCAACTCACTGGGAGAAAAAGCTCTTGGCAATGCTGCTGAATGGTGCCTTCTATGAAAGAAAGCAGGCTGGCATCAGCCTGTGCTCTTTAGGCAGCTGGCATCCCTTTTAAAACAATGGCTTCTTGCAAGCAAACATTCGTAATGTTTGCGTGAGGTATTAAGAAACATCACTGTCCAGTGGACACTTATGTTCCCACCACCCAGTTGAACCAAAGAATGTTACCCTTATCTTCCATGTCTCATGTATGCCTACTCTGAGCTCACCCTACTCTGAGCTTCCTCTCTTTTCAGAAGTTACCACTACCCAGAATTTGTGGTTATCATTTCTTCACTTTTCTTTATAGATTTCCTCGTATGTATGTGTTTCTAAACAATTAATTTGTTTCGTTTTATATATTTTTAAACTTTATGAGGAATCATAATATCTGTATTCTTCTGCAGCTTGCTTTATTTTTCAACGTGTTTATGACATCCGCCCATATTGCTGCATGTGTAGTAATCTACTGTGTAAATGTGCCACAAGGTGAATATATGCATTCTCCCTTAGATAGATATTTGAGTTGCGTAAATATTTGGTTAGTGCAGACTGTACTGGCATAAATTTCCTTGTTCAGGTCTTTTGGTGCAGATGTACAAGAGATTCACTAGTACATCTGCCTTTGAATGATATTGCCAGATCATGGGATATGTACATCTTCAATTGTACTATAAAGACAAAGTGTTTTCCAAAGTGATTGTGCTAATTCACACTTCCACCAGCAGTGTTGAGTTCCTTCCTGTCCTCACCAACACTTGATATTGTGAGAATCTTGAATTTTTGTCAGACTGTTGAGTGTGAGATAACATCTCATTGAAGTTCTAATTTGGATCTACTTGATACACTTACGGGCTATTCTGATTTTTTTCTTTTGTGAATTGCCTCTTCAGGTTTTTTTGCCCATTTTCTCTTGGTTTGTCTGAGTCAAGATCTGTGAAGAGTCTGAGGTTCTACCCTACTTACAAAAGCTAATGATTTAGGCTGCCATTATTCTGGATGCAGGTAGAAGACATGAGACTCCTGGATTAGAGACAAAGGACCTTATTACTCACAGAATAACAAGCAGTATTAGCATCAGCATATTTGCATCAATTATCCTTGCCCCAAATCCTGCTGAGGTGCAGATGGGCCCAGGTGGATGCCTGCACATACAGTGGGTTGAATTAGATAAACCCTGAGTTTAGGAAATCAAAATCTTTTATAATGAGCGGTAAGCATGTCTGTCATTTGGTTTGGAGGGAAATATTGTCTTTGTTATACTGAAATAAACATGTCCTTTCCTCCAGAGAGAGAGACACTGTCTTTATCTTCCAAGGCTGTTTACTATCCAGATGTCCTTGAAATGATAATCCAGAACAAAGGACAGTCAGTGCCTGTGCTCACAAGATGTGCAGAACCACAAGAAACCCATGGAGAATTATCTTCCAATAATATCCACCTCTTGTTTCTATACCAAATTGGCTTCTGGCAGATTTTCCCACGAGTCTGCCATTGTATTGATCATGACAAAGGCTGAGACCAAATCCATTCAATTTGTTTCATACAGCGTTTAATTAAGGCTGTTATCAACAGAACTCCAACACAATGAGGCCAACAGAATTGACCTCAACCTTGACCCTCAGGGTTCCAGACCCAGCTAGCTGAAGAAATCTTATAAACCATCAAAGTCTGCCTGAGAAAGTCAAGCGGCTTTTCCTTACATTTCTCTGTTGACCTTTCCATTTGGCCCAGGCATTAATCTGGGTACAGCAGGATGGATCGATGATTTTACAGACTGCCTTGGCCCACAGGAGTCCAGGCAAGTCTGTCATCCATACCAACCCTGCCCAGTGAGTTTAGGCTGACCTCACTGCCTTCCAGAGCCAAGGACAGGTGACCAGATCAGGGACAAATTTTGTTCCACTTTTTCTAGTTGGATGACTCCCTTTGTAGGATGTCAGCTGTCTGCAGGATTCACGTAGATCAGTTACCCGTCTAAGAAGAACCCTGAGTAACCGAGGGTAGCTTCATTTTGGGGAGAGCCCCACAGTTGTCTGAGGGTTACTTGATCTACTGGTGGTGTTCCCTTAAACATTGTAATGTCTCTTATGACCACCACTAAGGTCACCATGTTTTTGGGAAGGTGGCAGGTGAATACGTGTCTTCTGCACAAGAATTACAGTCCTGGAGGCACGCATGGGACCCCTGGAAAGAAAGTTTTGTTACAGTTCTTGGGGCCCCACAGGTAGGGCAGTTTTTCTCTCTGGCTGTTTTTAAGGTCTGTATATAGGATAGTCTGTTCTTCTATGTCTAGACATGGATTTCTTTTTCTTTTTTCTGCCTCCTCCTCCTCTCCTCTCCTTCCCTGTCTATTATCCCCCTTCCCCCAGCCGCCTTCTGTATTTTGTGAGATTCCCAAATGTGTGGATTGGTGTCTGTCAGCAGTTCTGGAGAATTCCCAGCCATCACCTCTACAGATATTGTCTCTGCCTTGTTCTCTTTCTCCTCTTTTATGATTAGTTGTCTATGAATCCTTCTGACTCTATTCTCCATGTCACTTTATCTCTCTTTTGTACTTTCCATTTCTTTGTTTTTCTGTGTTACATTCTGGATAATTCCTTCCAGTCATTAGTACACATCTCAGCTGTCTAGTGTATTATTAAACACATCTGGTAAGTTTGTATTTAATTTATATTTTTCATTTTAGAAGTTTTATTTGGTTCTTTTTCAAATTGGATTGGTCATTTTTAAAAATTATCTTGCTCCTTATACAGAGTTTCCAGTCCCTTCTTTTAACATATTGAATGTACTCAATTTTATCTTCTGTATCTGATATTTTCCATATCTGAAGTCTTTGCAAGTTTCATTCAGCTTTCTATGCTTCTGCTCATTCTCACTCATGGTGCTTTATTTCTTGTTTGTTTTGTGATTTTTTTTTAAATGTAAGCTTATATTTCTTAGAACTATATCTATGGGAATTCCTGAGACCTGGGTTGAAGGTGGGTCTCTCCAGAACTACATGCACGTGGATCTACCAGATGTCTTGGAGCTCTCTCAGCTTTTGACCATTTTCTGTTAATTGGCTTGAGTGTTTTTGACTCACCCAGAAAAAACCTGTCTAAGGGAAAGCTTAGGGTTACAAATTCTCATGGGAGATTGTTTTCCCATGTACTCCAGACTAGTAATTTTCCTTGCAGGCCCCTGGAATAGGATGGGCACAGCAGATGCGTTTTTTAGTTCACAGTTACACTGAGGATATAATTCTCTGATCCAGGTCTGTCCAGCAGCAGTGTCCGTTGTTGGACCACCACAGTGGAAATGCCCTAGCTTTTGTCTTCCGTCTGCTGTTCTGCAAGAGCCATTAAAATGGAAACTCGGCTTCATTGCCTTGGCAAATATTTTGAAGGTGAAAACCTTCAGTGCTCACTGATTCCCTAAGTGACCACTTTCACTTAGCTTTTTGCTTCTGAGTGTTGCTTGCTTTCTTATTTCTGTTTTAAAGTTTGTTTATTTCATTTCATCCAGCACTTTAGTTTCCAGCATAGGATGAATCTGGGGATCTCATTCACTATATTGCCAGAAATGGAATTCATCTTCCTTGTAGTTCCAGAAACATTTGTAGTCAATGTGCTGTATTCTTCTTGGTGTGCCAGAGGGAGTCGGGGTCAGCGCTTCCCTGTCTGCCTCGGGTTTTCCTTCTTTTGATTAACTTCCTGAAGAGGGACTTGGCCTCTTCCAGAAAGACTTAACATCTTCCAAAAGTTAGCAGACATGAAAATTTCTACCATATCTCATATTATCTCTGGTAAATACCCTAAAAGTACTGATGGTTTGCCAGTTCATATTGATTTTTCCTTTTCATGAGCTCCAAGTTGTTCTAAGGATATTTTATAATCAATTACTGTTGTGCAAAGTAGATACTGTTACCTACAGAAGCTTGAAGTTTAAAAACATACCTGGAATTTACTAGGTAAAATGAAATGTGTACCTAGCTCTAGGTACACAAGTAATGCATACACGTGAAAAAGAGGGTAGAAGATATGTGTACATTTGAAAACAAAAAATAGTTCTGAACCAAAAAATAGTTCTGACCCTGTAATTTACCAGTTCTTTTTGAAAATACCCTTATTAGGAGCTTGGGCAATGAAATAAGTTACTAGTAATTCCTCAGAAGAATTCTTGAGGATGAGTCTGATTTTCTTAACTGTTTAGTTGGAGGCAGCTTACCAAGTCTGCTAAATACTGTCTTCCAGGATCACCAGAAAGTGGCCCAGTTGGCATTTTCTGATGAAGAGAAACATGAACCTAGAATAATAGTGGGGCATAGAAGAGTAACCATCACCTTAATAGCTTTAGTCTGATTTTTCCTAAACTGCATTTCCTGTATCTCTTATATTCTGTTTGCTGACGTATTAATAGGTGTCTCCTTGACAAAGGAAGCTTCACATTCAAACAAGGTGGGAGACACTGTGTACACACCCCCTCAGCTGCTCAAGAATGCCCCACAGGAAGTGTTTAGGAACAGCTATTCTTTAGGGTAGGTGACCCAGAGGAGGCAACTAAAAAAATACACTCACATACATCTTTACATGGGATTAAGAAGACAGGAATTTGTCAAAAAAATAGAGGGGATGTTGCTGTTGGAGAATGTGCACCCCACCCTTGGCCTCCTCCTGGCCCTGCCACTTATATTTCTCTTCTGAAAGACTCATCATTCACATTAGCCTGAAGTTTGAATGTCCTTAGAAGTCGGAAAGCCTATACAACTTTGCTTAATGTGGCAGTCTCCATACCTGTGTAACCATGGAATTCTGTTTCTAGAAAAAGACCCATTCTGTTAGCAACTTGCCGATTGTGTCTGTTCCATGGAGCTCAGTTTGAGAGGAGACATTGTTCTAAT